AGAGAGGAAAAAGAGGAGAAATCATCGTTTCGTGCCGGAAATCGTTGTTTCGTACCGAGAAATCATCGTTTCGTACCGGGACATCAAAAAAAGATAGGAAAAAGAGAGGAAAAAGATAGAGAGGAAAAAAAAGAAAAAGAAAAAAAAGAGATGAAAAAGAAAGGAAAAAGAGGAGAAATCATCGTTTCGTACCGGGAAATCAAAAAAAGAGAGGAAAAAGAGGAGAAATCATCGTTTCGTGCCGAGAAATCATCGTTTCGTACCGGGAAATAAAAGAGAGGAAAAAGAAAGGAAACAAAAGGGAGGAAAAAGAGGAGAAATCATCGTTTCGTGCCGGAAATCGTCGTTTCGTGCCGAGACATCATCGTTTCGTGCCGAGAAATCATCGTTTCGTACCGGGAAATCAAAAAAAGAGAAGAAAAAGAAAGGAAAAAAAGAGAGGAAAAAGAGAGGAAAAAGAAAGAGAAGAAAAAGAAAGGAAAAAAAAGAGAGGAAAAAGAGGAGAAATTATCGCTTCGTACCGAGAAATCATCGTTTCGTGCCGAGACATCATCGTTTCGTGCCGAGAAATCATCGTTTCGTGCCGGGAAATCAAAAAAAGAGATGAAAAAGAGAGAAAGACAGGAAAAAGAGGAGAAATCATCGTTTCGTCCCAGAAATCGTCGTTTCGTACCGAGAAATCATCGTTTCGTGCCGGGAAATCAAAAAAAGAGAGGAAAAAAAAGAGAGGAAAAAGATAGGAAAAAGAAAGGAAAAAGAGGAGAAATCATCGTTTCGTACCGAGAATCATCATTTCGTGCCGAGAAATCATCGTTTCGTGCCGGGAAATCAAAAAAAGAGAGGAAAAAGAGAGGAAAAAGAGGAGAAATCATCGTTTCGTACCGGAAATCGTCGTTTCGTGCCGAGAAATCATCGTTTCGTACCGGGAAATAAAAGAGAGGAAAAAGAAAGGAAACAAAAGGGAGGAAAAAGAGGAGAAATCATCGTTTCGTGCCGGAAATCGTCGTTTCGTACATCATCGTTTCGTACCGAGAAATCATCGTTTCGTGCCGGGAAATCAAAAAAAGAGAAGAAAAAGAAAGGAAAAAAAAAGAGGAAAAAGAGAGGAAAAAGAAAAAAAAAAAGAGGAAAAAAAGAGAGGAAAAAGAGAGGAAAAAGAAAGAGAAGAAAAAGAAAGGAAAAAAAAGAGAGGAAAAAGAGGAGAAATTATCGCTTCGTACCGAGAAATCATCGTTTCGTGCCGAGAAATCATCGTTTCGTACCGGGACATCAAAAAAAGATAGGAAAAAGAGAGAAAGACAGGAAAAAGAGGAGAAATCATCGTTTCGTCCCAGAAATCGTCGTTTCGTACCGAGAAATCATCGTTTCGTACCGAGAAATCATCGTTTCGTGCCGGGAAATCAAAAAAAGAGAGGAAAAAGAGATGAAAAAGAAAGGAAAAAGAGGAGAAATCATCGTTTCGTGCCGAGAAATCATCATTTCGTACCGAGAAATCATCGTTTCGTGCCGGGACATCAAAAAAAGATAGGAAAAAGGAGAGGAAAAAGAGGAGAAATCATCGTTTCGTGCCGAGAAATCATCGTTTCGTACCGGGACATCAAAAAAAGATAGGAAACAGAGAGGAAAAAGATAGAGAGGAAAAAAAAGAAAAAGAAAAAAAGATAGGAAAAAGAGGAGAAATCATCGTTTCGTACCGAGAAATCATCGTTTCGTACCGGGACATCAGAAAAAGAGAGGAAAAAGATAGAGTGGAAAAAAAAAGAAAAAGAAAAAAAGAGAGGAAAAAGAGAGGGAAAAAGAAGAGAAATCATCGTTTCGTACCGGGAAATCAAAAAAAGAGAGGAAAAAGAGATGAAAAAAAAGAAAGGAAAAAGAGGAGAAATCATCGTTTCGTACCGAGAAATCATCGTTTCGTGCCGGAAATCGTCGTTTCGTACCGAGAAATCATCGTTTCGTGCCGGGACATCAAAAAAAGATAGGAAAAAGAGAGGAAAAAGATAGAGAGGAAAAAAAAAGAAAAAGAAAAAAAGAGATGAAAAAGAAAGGAAAAAGAGGAGAAATCATCGTTTCGTACCGGAAGTCGTCGTTTCGTGCCGAGAAATCATCGTTTCGTACCGAGAAATCATCGTTTCGTACCGGGAAATCATAAAAAGAGAGGAAAAAGAGGAGAAATCATCGTTTCGTACCGGAAATCGTCGTTTCGTGCCGAGAAATCATCGTTTCGTACCGAGACATCATCGTTTCGTACCGAGACATCATCGTTTCGTACCGGGAAATCAAAAAAAGAGAGGAAATCATCGTTTCGTGCCGGAAATCGTCGTTTCGTACCGAGAAATCATCGTTTCGTGCCGAGAAATCATCGTTTCGTACCGGGAAATCAAAAAAAGAGAGGAAAAAGAGGAGAAATCATCGTTTCGTACCAGAAATCGTCGTTTCGTGCCGAGAAATCATCGTTTCGTGCCGAGAAATCATCGTTTCGTATCGGGAAATCATCGTTTCGTACCGGGAAATCAAAAAAAGAGAGGAAAAAGAAAGGAAAAAAAGAGAGGAAAAAGAGGAGAAATCATCGTTTCGTACCGGAAATCGTCGTTTCGTGCCGAGAAATCATCGTTTCGTACCGGGAAATCAAAAAAAGAGAGGAAAAAGAGAGGAAAAAAAACAAAGAAAAAGAAAAGAAAAAGTGATTCACCAAGTGATATACACAAGTGTCACTATCGCCAGGGAGAGGGTTTCGACTGGGAACCTCCCAGTGACACGTCACCTGGTTGAGATATGTTGAGTGAGGTGCTTTCTGCCAGGAAGACCATGAGAGTTTTCAGACGATCCTCTCACCCAGCTCTGCAAAAATGCAACGGGCTGCCAGATTTTAAGCTTTGAACAAAGATGGTTGAACACAACATTCCAAACTTTGCTGAACAAACTTCATAAGACAGCTCTGTCAGAGCTGTGCATAAGATTCAGTACTTGCACATGGCAACCTGTTCGAGTTGCTCATTGATCTATTTGGCTCCGTTGATCCTGGTGTCCCTAGAGTCTTGTGAAGAGCTGAAATTCGACAGTGTAGCTCGTTGCACTTAAGATCCCATGAAGGATCCGTGCGTTCCCACAGAAAAATGCGGTCGTGTGCACGATCGCCCACTGCTTGAGGTTTAGGCTCCTGGAAGGTTTCCTCAGGAAAGCTTCAGATCTAAGAACTCTGTTTGGCAGCTTTCAGAAACTCTCCCGGAACTCTCTAGGAGCTCTCTGGAAACTCTCTAGGAACTCTCTGGGAACGCCCTAGGAACTCTCTCGACTGCCAAAATTTTTGGTAACTCTCTAGAAGCTAGGTCCTCTCTGGGAACTGTCTAGTAAATCTCTACGCAGTTTAAGACTTAATCGTGGTTACCATGTCTAATTCTTATCGTGGTTACTAAGTTTTTCTATCGTGGTTACTATGACTAGTGCTTAACGCGGTTACTACGTAGTCTCATATTTTTATGGCAATGAATACTAATTAATATGTTATGGTAGTTGCCTATTAGAAATGATCCATGATCATTACCCTTTCTGGTCATATTTCTGGGGATGGGTCATATGACACCTGTGACACCATATGAATGGGGGAACAACCATCAACCATCTATAATTTTGTTTGGTAGGGTGCCAGCGTTTTGACTCATCGCCATATTCTGGCAATTGCCTAATATGATATGGTAATTACCCTGGCTGCCCTATACCTAGTTTTGAGCGTGTGACATGTACCATGATATGGTTTCTCGCATGGCATGGCTCAACCAGCCTGAGTCACGGGCCTTAGAAGCTTCTGAGTGAAGGGAAAAACTAGCTATGATAGGTTTTATGATTTTTGTTATTAATATTGATCTATACTGTATATGATATATGTGTGTGTTTGTATGTTTGTAGGTATAATGATCCATTTATGCGCGTATGAGAACCATTGGTTTGTTGGTAAGGGGGGATTCGAACAGCAAACATGTGGGTATGAGCAGTTATAATATGAGGAATACTGGGGACAGAATTAATTATGCAACAGTTTGGCAAACAGGTTTGTCCGAAAATGGGGTATACCATGCGTATAATAGTGTACTGTATACCCCAAAATAATCAAGATACGCATTTGGAAAGGTAAACTATGACAAAAACTTATTTTTTTGAGGGGTAACCCCACTATTGCACAAATTGAAATGTCCCATTCGGGATTTTCCACACCACTTTTTTTTTTGGCTGCTGATGATTTGACAGGAAATCAATTGGAAAGCATTGCCTCCATTTGTGCCTGCATGCGAAGATGGACGTCTTGAGCAGCTGGCTGCTTGCCCACTTCGCATCCGGCGGATGTTCGTCCCAGGGTAGCCTCTGGTAATTAAACATAGCTATGGAAAATTACCATTTTTAATAGGTAAATCAACTAATTATCAATTAGCCATTTTACATAGCTATGTTAGTTTACCAGAGGGTACATGTTTGTTGACTCATGACACATGAGCCGTCATTAGCGCCTCCCCAGACAAAAGCCGCTCTGAGGCTAGAAAGAACGGCTGCAAGTTCTATTCGAGCACGTCCTCTTTAACAGGCTACAGCAAGACCTACCTTTCTTCTTCCCCTTTCGTGCGCACAGCTTTGCAGACGCACATGACAGTTGTCCAAGCCAGGGAGTTGTTTCATGTTTTTTCCAATCTTGCACCATTCGTATCATGCAGATGAACATAAATTGACATAAACAAATGATATGGCAATGTTTGCATCAAAGATGCACGGGCGCGAGGTGTTCTTTCCCGGTGCTACTTCGCAATTTCGCAGCACCGGGGCTTTGATCCCAAAGGTCTTACAAAGTCTTTTCTGAAGAGGCTGCAGAATTGGAGTATCCGGAGCAATGCCAAACACCACCACCGATCTTTCAATATCTAGTATATGATGTTTTTATGACTTACACATATATGACACATATATATATACATATTATACATATAATTATCCAACTCAAGAAATCCTCTCCTCTCAAGAGGAAATTTAAGCGCTTGTCTTGGACAATGTCACCAGACGCAAGGCGCAGAACCTTCAGCCCGAGCACCAGATGGCCAACAGTAAATACCTCAGAAATCTGAAGCAAATCTGTTGCGCAGGGTCTCGAACTTTCAATCAAAGAGAATACATTGACGTTGGATCATGTTGCATCTATATCTTTCGCATTATTTCGCACTCATGTGCGCCTTTTGCAAGTGCAAGTGAGATCAATACATGGGTTTCACCCTATAGAATCAGTGGTGAATCCATATGGGGATCCGTTGCAGCTGACAGGTAGTCTACTTGCGCGTGAATGAGCCTGGTGATGCATGGTCCCTGACAGCTGGCGGCGATGATGGGAACGATGCCACTGGGACTGCAGATCGCATGATAGGCATAGGAAGGCAACGAAGACACCATGAAACAGCTATTTATTTGATGGTTGCCAACTGACTTGATGCATGCTGTAGTTCAACCCTGCAAGCTTTTACAGTCTATTGGCCTTTGAAATTAAGACAGGAGAATGTTCTGCTGGACTTGGGCCTGCTGCTCGGACGCACGTAGCGGCTGGCAAGGATTCGGCGAGAGTAATGATGCACGGTGCCCCAATCTCCGTTTCGGAAGGGATTTGAAGTTGGAGCTTCTGTACCAATTGGTTTGGTGTTTTGGAGAACTAATCCCATTTCTAGCTATGGAATTCTGTGGTGACTGCCAAGGACGATGGAGTACCAGTTAACCACTCCCAAGTCAACATTTGATGCACGATTTCTGCAGAAGGACGAGGAAGCAGATCCACCGGACTTGGAGAAGGAAGGACTTGCATACAGAAGCTTGTCGACCTGATCGCGTGGCACCCCACAACAAAACTGCGCAACATGAAAGAGATGCGGGCTTGCCTCGTTGGATGTGCATCGCGGCTGGTGACCTACCAGTTACATCCCCGTGGATTTGTACATTTCAACATATTTCAACCATCCCCTGCAGCAAAAAGCCTGGGGATTTTCACAGCTCCATCAGCCAAGGATTTCTAAAGGTTGGACGTACCATGATGCGCTCTCAGCTGGATGCCATTCATCGAGGTGAAGTCTTTGTTGCTTGACGGTAGCATACGGTAGCCGTGTTCGCCATGAAAGCTACCCCTTTTGATGTGTTTTGATTGGTTATAGTAGGATGTAGGATTTTGTAGGGGGTTACATTCGGCTATACTATGTTGTGCTACTAGGTGTATCTTGGTTGTGTGGAGATTGATGGTTATAGGGGATTGTACTACGTGGTTTGTCTTGGTTGGGGAGGGTTGGCTGGTCTTTATAGGGGGCTATAGTACTTCATCTATCTATATATATATATAAGATTATAATATAAGGGATTGCACAGCCGGGATACCTATTAACCAACCTCTACTTGCAGATTCTGACAGTCCCCAATGATCCTACTACAGTAGAAGAGAAACTACAAGCCCTATGTAGACGATGCTTTGATGACCCTTGTCAGTACACAACAGTCTGCCATCTAAGGATGTGAAGACACGTGCAGTCTTTGACATCAGACATAACATCACGCATCTTGACTTCTTGGTGCCAGTGCGGCAATCCTCCTGTATTCTTTGAGTACTTGTGCTCAAGATGTGTTTTTGGTGTTACACTTTGCATGGCATCTTGATATAGCATGTGTTCCTGGCTGCGGGTGCCGGTTGATTAACATTCATTCGTATTCATTCTATCTTCCACAGGGCTCCATGCTTCACAAGTATCTCCATTTGGATCATTTGGATACTCAGTACATCTCAGGAGTCCAAGACGTGTTCTGTAAATATTTCAATATCCAAACATTGATTGCGGAGACAGCATTGGCCTATGACACAGCTTCATAAACGCTTGAGACATTTTCAGACCCTTTCCTTGCGTTTGGGTACTTTGCAGGAGGGCTCGAAAGTGCACGTGTCCCAAAGATATCCAAAGATACCCCCTTGAAATGCAGATTCATCACACACACATACATTCATTGTAGTTCTAATATACGTATTGTATCGTATTATATATGATTAATATTGATTAATAATTATATATGTGAAATGTCAACATCAATGTTCTCACATACGCACACTCACACACATACACACGTATGTATATATTATATTATATTAGAAGTGCATGATAGCGCAGGCATGTCAGAATACTCGCGCGTCGATCTGAGGGATTATGAGAACCAGAGGAAGTACCGCATCACTCGCATCCTGGGACAAGGTCCCAGCTACGAGCTGGAAATCTACGAGATGATGCGACACTTTCTCTGAAAATCGCGACCTCCCGTTTGGTGCGATTAGAAGTCAAATTTGTGTTGAAGAAGCGTGAATAAGAGTCGAATAATACTATATATATATTATATTATATGCGATTGATATATACTATGCAGACTCGATTAGTTCCCCAACAGCGTAAGCTTGGGGTCTTCAGCCATAGTAAAGGTTCCGGAGCAGGTCGGAGCAGCCAAATCCGCTGGGAACCAGGTTCCCAGGAAGGTTCCCAGGAAGAGTTTCCTTTTACAAGCGGATCCCTCGGAGCAGCCAAATCGGTATGGCGCAAGGTTGGGAACTGGGCTCCCAGGAAGAGGTTCCCAAGCAAGGTTTCTCAGCAAGGTTCCCAGCAAGAGGTTCCCAAGCCAGGTTCCCAGGAACAGGTTCCCAAGCAAGGTTCCCAGGCAAGGTTCCCAAGCAAGGTTCCCAACAACAGGTTCCCAAGCAAGGTTCCCAGGAAGAGGCTCCTAGCAAGAGGTTCCCAAGCAAGGTTCCCAGGAAGAGGTTCCAAGCAGGGTTCCCAAGCAAGGTTACTAGGCAAGGTTACCAGGAACAGATTCCCAAGCAAGGGTTCCCAGGAACAAGTTCCCAAGCAAGGTTCCCAGGAACAGGTTGCCAAGAACAGGTTCCCAAGCAAGGGCTCCTAGCAAGAGGTTCCCAAGCAAGGTTCCCAGGCAAGGTTCCCAGGAGATTCCCAGCAAGGTTCCCAGGAAGAGGTTCCCAAGCAAGGTTCCCAAACACGGTTGCCAGGAACAGGTTCCCAAGCAAGGTTCCCAGGAACAGGTTGCCAGGAACAGGTTCCCAAGCAAGGGTTCCTAGCAAGAGGTTCCCAAGCAAGGTTCCCAAGCAAGGTTCGCAGCAGGTTCCCAGCAAGGTTCCCAGGAAGAGGTTCCCAAGCAAGGTTCCCAAACACGGTTGCCAGGAACAGGTTCCCAAGCAAGGTTCCCAGAAAAATGTTCCCAGAAAGAGGTTCCTAGCAAGGTTCCCAATTCCCAGGCAAGGTTGCCAGGAACAGATTGCAAGGGCCCCCAATATTTTCAGGAAGAGGTTCCCAGGCAAGGTTCCCAAAAGGTTCCAAGCAAGGTTCCCAGGAACAGATCCCAAGCAAGGGTTCCCAGGCAAGGTTCTCAGGAAGAGGTTCCCAAGCAAGGTTCCCAGGAATAGGTTTTGCAAGCACGGATTTCAGTAACTGTTTTCAAGGTTTCCAGGCAACATTTCCCCAGCAAGATTTCCAGGAACATGTTTTTCCCAAACAAAAGAAATTTCCCAGAACAGGTTTTCAAGCAAGTGTTTCCAGGAAGAGGTTTCCAGGAAGAGGTGTCCAAGCAAGGTTCCCAGCAAGCTGGTTCCCAAGCAATGCCTTCAGGAAGAAGTTCCCAAGCAAGGCTCCCAGCCAAAGGTTCCCAGGAACAGGTGCCCATACAAGGTTCCCAAGAACAGGTTCACAAGTAAGGTTCCCAAGCGCATTCCCAAGCAAGGTTCCCAGGAACAGAGTCTCAAGCAAGGTTGCTAGAAAGAGGTTCTCAAGCAAGTTTCCCTGGGAACACTTGCTCCTGGAAATTTTGCTGGGGAACCAGCTCTTTCTGGGAACGCTTGCTTGAGAACTTGTTCCTGCGAGGCTTGTTCCTGCTTAGAACTTTGCTTGGAAACGGTTCCGTGGACCTTGCTTGGGAACCGTTTTTGGGAACCGTACTTGCAAGCGGTTCCTAAGAATTTAGCCTTGCTTGGGAACCTCTTCCTGGATACCTGCTTGGGAGCCTCTTTTTGGAAACTTGCTTGGGAACGTTTTTCCCCAAGCGTACGTAAGCTTGGGGTCTGCAGCCACCCCAAGAACAAGATTTCCAATCAAATTTTCCAGGAACAGGTTCGCAAGCAAGGTTACCAGGAAAATTCCCAAGCCAGGTTCCCAAGTTCCCAAGCAAGGGTCCTGGGAACAGATTTCCAAGCAAGGTTCGCAAGACCAGGTTCCCAGGCAAGGTTCGCAAGAACAGGTTCACAAGCAAGGGTTCCAAGAACAATGCCCCAAGTTCCCAAGCAAGGGTTCCAAGAGCAGGTTTCCTTGCAGGGTAGCAAGGTTACCAAGCAAGGTCCTTGGGAACAGGTTCCCAAGCAAGGTTGCCACGAACAGGTCCCCAAGCAAGGTTTGCAAGCAAGCTTCTCAAGAACAGGTTCCCAAGCAAGGGTTCAAAGAAAAGGTTCCCAAGAACTGGTTCGGGTTCCAAGAACAAATTCTCTAGGAAGGTTCCGAGCAATAGGTTGCCAGCACGGTTCCCACGAACACGTTCCCAAGCATGGTTTCATGTTGCTCATGTTCCCAGGAACAGCTTTCCAAGAACAACTTGCAAAGCGAAATTTCGAAGAACATCTGCAAGCAAGGTTGGAAGCAAGAACAGAATCCCAAGCAAGGTTCCGAAGGACAGCTTCCTAAACAAGGTTCCCAAGCAAAGATACGAAAAACAGGTTCCCGAGCAAGGTCCCAACGAACAGGTTTGAAGCAAGCAGGCAAAGTTTCCAAGAACAGGTTCCCAAGAGAGAGTTTTCAAGAACCGGTTACCAGGCAATGCTCCCAAGAGCAGGTTCCTAAGAATAGGCTCCCAAGAACAGGTTCCCAAGCAAGGCTCCCAAGAACAGGTTCCCAAGCAAGGTTCCGATAAACAGGTGTCAAGCAACGTGTCCAAGAACATTGAACAACAGAATCAGAATACTGCAAAGTTTGAAGACTTGTTCTAATAACGGAATGGAGAGATTGAAGAAGAACTAGTTTTGCTTCAAAAAATGATACGGCACTCGCACATGGATAAACACACTAGACGACAGCGTGGCATGAATGAAAGCAGGAGGGAGGAGACGAGAAGATAATACACAAGAAAAATGAATGATGATGGTGATTATGATGACGGCAATGATGATGGCGATGCGATGGCAATGACGAGGATGAATGGCGATGGAGATGATGATGAATGATAGCTGACGCGAGTCAACTGTCATATATCCACGATTTCATGCCTGTTTTGTCCCTGCAGAGGGTTTGCTCCAGGGCTGGCACCTAAGTGAGAGTCAGAATCAAAAAAACATGTTGTCTTCACACAGCGAAAAAAAATACACAGAGAAGATTTTACACGCAGAAGCCTTTACACAGAGAGGGATTTACACAGAGCAGCTTTTACACAGACGCTTTTGACACAGACGCTTTTACATACAGAAGCTTTTACACAGAAAAGCCTTTTCTAAAGAAGCCTTACCACATGAAGCCTTTACACAGAGCAGTTTTACACACAGACGCTTTTTCACAAAGAAGCTTTTACACACAGGAACTTTAACGCGCAGATGCACAAGCTTTTACACACAGGAGCTTTTGCACACACACACACACACACGCCTTACAAAAAGAAGTTTTTAGACACAGAAGCTTTTACAGCCTTTTCACAAGAAAGCTCTTACACAGAAGCTTTTGCACAGAGATGCCTTTACAAACAGAAGCTTTTACACACAGAAGCTTTTACTCAGAGAAGCTTTTAAACAGAGCAGCTTTTACACATACAGAAGCTGTTACACAGAGAAGATTTTGCACAGAGAAGCTTTTTCACAGACAAGCGTTTGCGGGAAGGAACTTTGAGCACAAACGGTTTTTACAGACAGCAGCTTTCACACAGAGAAGCCTTTGCGCGGACCAGCGTTTACGCTCAGCTTTGTTTTCACAGAGCAGCGTTTATGCGGAGCAGCTTTGACGCAGAGAGGCCTTTACACAGAGGGGCTTTTACGCACAGAGGTTTTCACACGGAAGCTTTACACAGAGAAGCTTCTACACAGAGAAGCATCTAAACAGAGCATTTTTTTTACACAGAAGCATTTACGCGCACAACAGCTTTACATACACACAGAGTTTTTACACACAAACGCTTTTACGCATAGAAGCTTGTTTGCAGAGCAGGGTTTACACAGAGCAGCTTTTACACACCGAAGCTTTTACACAGAGAGAGGCCTTTGCACAGAGCAGCTTATACAATCTTATGCGCACAGAAACTTTAAACACGCAAATGCCCAAGCGTTTACGCAGACAGGTCTTTACACATAGAGGTATTTACACAAAAGTTATCAAAAGTTCTTCACACAGATGCGGCAAATGCTTCTACACACACAAGCTTTTGAAAACAGGTACCTTTCCACACAGAAGCATTTACCCAGAGATGCTTTGACATATACACGCCTATACACACAGAAGCTTTTAGACACAGATGGTTTTTCAGAGAATCACAGAAGCTTTGACACAGAGAAGCCTTTACAAAGAGAATCTTTTACACACAGAAGCTTTTACACACACACACAAGCTTTTGCACAGAAGCTTTTGCGCAGAGAAGCTTTTGAGCACAGGAGCTTTTGCACACAGACGTCTTTATACACAGAAGCTTGTACACACGGAGGCTTTTACGCACAGAAGCTTTTACACAGAGAAGCCTTTACACACAGACGCTTTCCCACAGAAAAACTGATTCCACAGAGCAACTTTTACACACTTCAAAAAATCGCAATTTTAGGTAAGTTATTGACGTTCGGCCATCATATAAGGGTTGCACCGGCGTTGGAAAATCGCAATTTTTGACGTTGGACAATCATTTTGCGTAAAAGGGTCGCGCCTGACCTTGTAAAATCGCAATTGTACACCTGTTTTATTTCGCGCGAAACCGTTGTGCCTGACGTTCAAAATGGATAAAGTCGCAATTTGACACCAATTCTTGAACGTTTGCACCTGACGTTTAAAAATTTCAGTTTCCCACAGTTATTGCCGTTTGACTTTCATGCCACGCTTGCATCTGAACTTTCAAAATCACAATTTTACACAAGTTGTTTAATGGTTGACCCTCATTTTCGTGCGAAGGGGCTGTGCCGGGCCTACCAAATTTGCATTTTGCCACGTGTTTGTGTGTCCGACCTGCGCGATCTCTGCAGAGGGTTGCCCGTGCTCAAAAGAAATTCACATTCCACCACATGTTTGGGCGTTCGAAACGCACGATCTCCGCAGACGGTTGCTGCGGGCAAAGAAGTTTCATTTCACCACACCACATGTTTGCCCATCCGACATGCACGATCTCCGCAGAGGGTTGCCCAAGGACAAACAAGACCCGTATTTCGCCACACGTTTGGGTGTCCGACACGCCGCAGAGGGTAACGTATCGTAAGCCACCGCCTGGCTGTCGCTGCCCCCAGAATCCCTACCCTCTTAAAAATGGAATTTGAGGGGGGGGAGTCGTACTGAAATTTCATTTTAAAATTCAATTTTTGCAATCATGCTTTCTCAATGATCACTATTCCTCATCATTCCATGTCATTGGCAAGCAGGTGAAAATTAAATACTTGCGCTTAGCTCCGGAGGGGCTAAGCACGTGTCAGACTGAAGCAGCACATGTGTAGGGATGGCATCCCTCCAAAAAATTGCGCTGCCGTGATCATACTTGCGCTTAGCTCCGGAGGAGCTAAGCGCAAGTATTTTCAAACCAGTTCCCAAGGCTTGTTAAGAAATGTTACTTTACAATTCCATTCGAGGGGTTGGATCACTATCCCAGGGTTTCCAAGCAAAAACAAGATGCAGCCCACTAACCCGAATGCTCACACATATGTTAATGGTACAGATGTCAAAACACATGGATATGCAGTCACGCACAACACTTTTCTGCAATAGTTTGCTTGAACAGTCTTGTACAGATTTCCCCTGTTACCAGTCTGCAGTGTGGAGTGGAAAGTGTGGAGTGTGGAGTGTAAAGTGTGGAGTGTGGAGTGTAAAGTGAGGAGTGGGGAGTATAGAGTGTGTAAAGTGTAGAATTGGAGTGTAAAGTGCAGAGTGTGGAGTGTGGAGTGGAAAGTGTGGAGTGTGGAGTGTAGCGTGTGGAGTGTGGAGTGAGCAGTGTAAATTTAAAAGTGTGGAGTGCGGAGTGCGGAGTGTAAAGCGAAAAATGTGAAGTGAGGAGCGTGGAGTGTGGAGTGTGGAGTGGAAAGTGTAGAGTGTAGAGTGTAGAGTGTCTAGTGAGGGGTGTAAAGTGTAAAGTGTGGAGTGTGGAGTGTAAAGTGAGGAGTGTGGAGTGTACAGTGTGGAGTGTAAAGTGTGGAGTGCGGAGTGTGGTGTAAAGTTAGAAGTGTGGAGCGTGGAGTGTGGAGTGTGGAGGGTAAAGTGTAAAGTGTGGAGTGTAAAGTGAGGAATGTGGAGTGTGGAGGGTGGAGTGGAAAGTGTAGAGTGTGGAGTGTGGAGTGTAACATGTAAAGTGTGGAGTGCAGAGTGTAGAGTGTACAGTGTAGAGTGTGGAGTGTGGAGTGTAAAGTGTAAAGTGTAGAGTGTAAAGTGTAGAGTGTGGAATGTAGAGTGTAAAGTGTAAAGTGTAAAGTGTAGAGTGTGGAGTGGGGAGTGTAAAGCGTGTAGTCAGTGTGTAGTCAGTGTGGAGTCAGTGTGGAGTCAGTGTGGAGTCAGTGTGGAGTCAGTGTGGAGTCAGTGTGGAGTGTAAAGTGTAGAGTGTGGAGTGTGGAGTGGAAAGTGTGGAGTGTGGAGTGTAAAGTGTAGAGTGTGAAGTGTGGAGTGTGGAGTGTAAAGTGAGGAGTGTGGAGTGAGGAGTGTGGAGTGTGTAAAGTGTAGAGTGTGGAGTGTAGAGTGTAAAGTGTAGAGTGTGGAGTGTGGAGTGTAAATTGTAGAGTGTAAAGTGTAGAGTGAGGAGTGTGGAGTGTAGAGTCTCAAGTGAGAAGTGAGGAGTGTAAAGTGCAAAGTGTAAAGTGTGGAGTGTAAAGTGTAGAGTGTGGAATGTGGAGTCTAAAGTGTGAATTGTGGAGTGTGGAGTGTAAAGTGTAGAGTGTGGAGTGCGGAGCTTCCCTCATAGACACGGCGACGCCACAGGAAAACCAGAGAAACGGGAACGCTTGCTACGCATTCCGGAAAAAGTGGAATTCGAGATGTTGGTTTTGTCCCCCCCCGCCCTCCCCCTCTATAGGGGTAGGGAATTTGCCAGAGAGAAATAGAAGAACTGGAGAAGTCTGATTTTGCAGGGGTTCACATACAATTTGATCCGCTGGAAGTTGGCTGAACTCCTGTGTGCCAACTCCTGTGTAACAATTTCTGTGCAAATGACCTTGCAGGCAGGAGTCTTGTAGGAGTTCAAGTAGAAGTGGATGACCTGCAAATCAACTCCTGTGTAAATGACATTTTTCAAAGTTTTGTAGGAGTTCCCTAGAAGTTGATCACCTGTAGCTGATGTAGGTGATGTTGTCTATGGTGTAGATGATGAGGATGATGTTGTAAGTGATGCAAGGTTAGATAGGCTTGAAGATGTAGGTGATGTAGAGGATGCAATGATATAGATGATGGTGTAGGTCATGTATGCGGTGTAGATGATGTATGTCATGTAGATGAGGCTGATGGAAAAAGATTGTGTAGGTGATGTAGATTGTGTAGGTGATATTGATGATGATGATGATGGTGCTGGTGGTGGTGATGATGATGATGATCATGATGATGATGATGGTGTAGATGAAGATCCAGGGAAGATGGTGTAGAAGATGGTATAGAAGATGTAAAGGACATAAGAGATGTGGAAGATGTATGTTAGGTAGATGAAGCGAAGAGTGAGGCGGGCAGCAGTTCTTTGGGAAGAAAACCCTTCGCACAAGCTTCCGGCATACTGGCCACAGTATTGCAAACGCTTTTGGAAAAAGCGTTTTTTCATAAAGTGTTTGTGCTGTGATTACACCTTGCACGCCCGACTTCTAGAGTAAAAAGGGCGGGGCAATAAACATACTACACTCATTGCGTGTTTGGCAACTGTTTTTGTTTCTCGCTGTTGGGGATACTCTTTGGGCTTATCATTTTCAATCATTTTCAATATATACATATTACACACACATATTATTATTTATTATGTATACTAATTCCATGATATAGTTATCATTTGAGGGACGAGGTTGTGAAGGAGCGCTACGGGCTGGCATATGCAGTTCATTTGTAGACACATCTAAGATCTATATATGGATTGGTCCAAAATGGGTGATGTCCCAAATTGATAGAGTTGTTCGTTCGGAAACTGAGAATTTCGGGAAGAAGCTGGAAAAAGATCTAGGTTTCCTGGAGAAGAAATGTTAGATCCAGGATAAAACTCTAGGATTTAGTGATTAAAATGTGAAACTGATGAGAGGACCCATAGTTTGGGCGCACACATTTTGAGACAACCGCATATCTAAGGAAATGCGTTCATGAAGTATGGACTGCAAGCCAAGATTGGTCGCATGGATGGTGTGATCGTGGCCTATCACAACACCGCAGAAATCTTCGGCTTCCAATACATTCCATTGGAGGACATGGAGCGTTGTATCTATGGTGAATCCCTCAGTCTTCACGTTCGCCATTTAAAAAATCACCTGTCGTTGCACCGTTGCCCGAGGTGGCATGGAGGCAGCAGATGTGGCCTTCGATCTTAGCATCCAAATGTTGGAGAAGATCATGGATCTCCTCACCAAGGTGGGTTATGGTGGAGAGCTGGGATACCAAAATCTCAAGAGATAGTGCTGCTATGTTTTTTTTCTATGAGGTTTCGGAAGATACTGATGGTTTTTTCATTATTGAATTTGGGATCTACGGCCGCTGCTTTCTTGCTGTTGGGGATATTCTTTGGGCTTATTTTTTCATTATTGAATAATGTAGATCCGATGGGCTTCGGATGGGATTCAACAAAAAAGAGATATCGGTGAGATGATCCTTTAAAAAAATATTAGGACCCATCGGAACTATAGAGTCATTTTTCAGATTATATATACATATTATATACCATATATGTATCATATGTCAATGTCATGATTTGTATCATTTTGTATCTACGTGGCTGCCGATTTTATCTAAGATCCCCTTCCCAGGATCCAGAGCTGTCAAAGTCTGGGACCATCAAAGTGCAGGTGCAATCCGTCCGGCAGCGTAAAAAGAGATGGGACTGTCCGTATAATGGGGGGTACCCCAATATCATCAAAAATTACTGCTGACCAATGTGAAAACCCCATGGTTTGGGGTACCCATATTTTAGGACACCCCCATCTGGCGCAGAAGATGGGTGAAGAATGGATAGCCATCCCTGGCCATTTTATGCCATTTCATTTCGTGATATTTGATGAATAGGCGCCAGCCATTTGTTTTGGGGGGAATTTGACATGCGGTTGTGAAAAATAGCAACCATCATTCCAATCTGTATAGGATGGGTTGTCATTTCTCCTTTGAAGAAATACAGTAAATGCAGTTCTGAAGTTCTGGGCGTCTCCCTTTTTGAGACCAGGGGTAGCGTCAGCGATGGGAATGCGACTGCCGTGTTCAGGTTGTATCGGAAGAAGACTCCAATAACGGCCGTGGGAATGCGTCACGTGCTCGATGCCAATGTTTCCTCCTGCATCCTGGTGCATGCTGCATAGCTATGCATAGCTGCTATAGCTGCTGTAGGAAAGCACCCAACTTAGGTTGGATCTTACAGCAGCAGTTGACACTTGGCTCAATCCTGGAGATTTGCCGTTTGGGCACGTGCAAAGCTGGGCTGGATTTCTGCATGATCCATATAAATCCATATTCATAGTTTGGAGGTCCCAAATTGTGTGCAAGAAACCATTTCTTGGACAGCCAGCTGTTCAATTCGATCTCGGCTGATTATGTCCGAACATGCCCTAACTTGTTTGAGCATATGACTGGCTTTGAGGTTGTGAAAGAAGGTGACAACAACGAGCCCGACCAGCTCGGAGTGGTCAGGGGCTTGGAAAGCTAGTCTAGTGGCAGTCATTGCCGTGGCAATCAGCTTCAGGCATGTGTTGCACTAGCATCCAGCAACCAGTTTATTAATACGCATTTGCATGGTCATTTAAAAGAAAACATGTTTCGGGGTTATGAATCTAGGCTTGACATTATTGAATATTGACAAATGAGGCATTGTTTCTATATCCGATCACTACTTCTGCCATCGCCTGGTGTGTAGCCCTTCAGGCTTGCAGTTTTCGCATCGTTGCAGACACCTTCCATGGTGATGGGCATTGGACTTAGCAGACTTTTTTCCGTGCGTTGGTGTTGTTACAGAACTTGATTTGCAAAGATTGCCCTCAGAATGTTGCTGTCCTTGCTATTGTCTTCGTTGCTCCTGTTCTTGTCCATGTTGTGTCTTTTCACTTGCGCTCCTGTTTCCGAGCGCCAAGATGAGATGTGCCAAAAGGGTATGTAAGTACTAGTATGTATATACAATCTTTGAGTCGTATTGTTTGTATGGATTGCTTGTGTTGGTAGATTTAGTTGCCATAAGCACATGCTCAAGATTGCTTCAGCATCCCCAGTCCCCTTCCCATGCTGGTAATATTTTGCGATGCTGTGGCATTGAAAAGTGGCCAGCTGACAGTGTCCTCCAATCAATTACTGCAGCGGCAAGGACATTAAAGTCTGGACTATTCTGGACTAGAGGTGGGAGCGACAAGTTTGGAATTTGCATAGAACGTGAGCATCGATGTCCATGAGTGCAATCGTTGGTCCTCAGTTCTATTGTGGCCGTTTGGCATTCAAAGTGCCACTTCTTGCTGATTGGCCTTCCCATTAAGCTGTGCATGCGGAGAATCATTGTCAGATGTTCGACAAATATATATCTCAGGGGCGTAAGTTGGATTTGGAGCGAGAAACAGTTGCCGAAAAGAGAAGATACATGGAATATGTGCACGCCAATCTGGCCAGTGAGTTCTGGGGTGGCGCACCAAGACAGGAGCATGGCATGCAGAGATTACTCCGTGGCATTCAGCAAATCATTGAAAATGTCAAGTTTCATTTGGATCAGCTGTGGACCTCCACGCACTGGAGCCTTTAGAAGCTGAGCTGGCGAAAACCCGACACGCAGCCCAACAGCAGCTGAGGCGCCAGCTGCGGTTTGGACGACGGAAAGCTGCCCGGTGCATCACATGGCACCAGCTGGTAGCCTCCAACCGGACAGGGATGATGCAGCGCGGCACATGCGGCACGGCCAACCAGGCATCCCTCTCCATGGGGATTCCAGAGGTGACCAGGAGTCCAGATTACAAAAATACACCAGTGATATATGTGCCGGCAAAGAAGTTGGATGAGTTTGCAAAGGATTATAAGGATTTAGCACTTGGCCCGATTATTTTGTTGAAGATTGACACTGAGGGACATGACATGGAAGTGCTACAGGGTTCAAGGTCACTGTTGGAACGTGGCTGCATTGCAGCCGTGGTTTTTGAGGTTGCTGGACAGATGAACTCTGATTTCTTTCGAATCCACAAGGAGTTTGGACAGCCTCGTCCAGACATTGCTTCAGAAGTCGGTCCGCAGATCGCCGAACCAAACCTTTACAGCATGGTTCGGTGATGTTCGGTGGTCTCAAGGTCTCAAGGTCTCAGGTATGAGAGTTTTCTGCTTGGAAGCCGTTCCCTGATTCCTTTGACATCATCCTGGTGGCATAGCAGCTACGAAGTTTGCATTACACGTCCAGAGCTTCATGCTGGTATGATGTGCTTGCCATACTTCAGCATAGCAGTGTGGCTACATGCTTTGGAAATTCACTAATATCAATAATTTGCTGCACAAGGATGCAAGCCAATTGGTAGGGCAAATCCTTCGTGAAGCCCTGACCAAAAAAAAACTGAGGGCCATACGACAAAACTTGTTTCAGGCTTTCGAGGAGGTTCCAAACTGAGAATGTCATTGGATGTCATTGGATTCTGTATCATCAATATATATATATATATGGAATCTCCTCACTCCCAGAGTCGAACAAGGATGAGCTCCTGGTCTTGCAGTAAAAGACTGCAAGAACCGGAAAATCTGATATGCAAGGACCCCAGGCCAAAGTACGGACCCGCAAAATTGGTCACCTTTTGCGGCGGTCGCATGTCCATCCCTGGGATGATGGGGCGGGATAAGGATGCCGAAAGCCTTGACATAGTCTCAGTATGTCTCAGTTGGCACCTGGAAATCCCAATTGCTCATGGGAAAATGGATGAAAATGGCTGATATTGCAGGGACATCATGCAGAAACAAAGGGATTATCCATTGACATTATCCATTGCTAGATTCCAAGGGGATATATGTCACAGGTCTCTTGCAATCCCCAGGGTCCCCAGAATTCCCCAGATACCGAGGAGTCCTCGCGCTGCAGATGAGGCCTGATGGACTTTGACAAATCATGGAAGATTTGCAGATAGAGCATTGCTAGATAGTAATCAGAACCTTCATGAAAGGGTAGTTAGTTAGCTAGCTAGTGAGCTAGTTAGTTAGTTAGTTATATGTATAGTTTCTGTAGTGGGTTAACTACTGTCCTGGGTTTCAGGGGTGTGGATGCCAAGAAAATTCCGGCAGCTTCCTACCATCACTGCCAAAGGCACATGCACTTGTTTGCCATGGGTTTTGAATTGCCCCAAAAAGATAGAAGGATTACCTGGTCCCAGAAGATATTTGCTGTACCCCTGATTCTTTCTGGAGAAATTCTGAAAGGCACTGCAAAAGGGTGACTATGTGAACTTTAGTGTGAGCGAGTTGCCAGTGGAGCAGTATGCTGAAAGACTCGCACCAGGCAGTGGGCAGAATAAATGCATACCCTGCAAATTGTTGGCGATCTCTTTCGACATCCATGTGGGCAGAATGTGGTTTGGACGATGATTTGTGCCTGCATCGAAGAGATTTTCCAGCCGCAGGCAAGAAGGAAGATATGCACCCTGGTGGCATCAAGAAATTGACCCCCTGACATGTTCTCGCTGGCAATGCCACAATGCACCGTTCCAGGGGTCGAATTCTTTGAGGTCTCCATTGCAGATGCTGCAGGATTGGTTCAGTGGCTTTGTGAACGCCTTGAGTGGTGCAGAGGAGGAAAAAAGTCTGGCATCGATGACGTGATGGGTACGGTGGTACGGCTTGTCCAATGCCAGAAATGAAGCAGAAATGAAACAAAGATAACAAAGGCAAGTTTTCACACCGTCTGTAGACTTGTGCAACATTGTGCAGGCGTTCTGGAAACGGAAAGTTTTCCGTTGAACCGGCTTTCGAGTTGAATAGGTGAGCGTTACGTATAGACATGTGTAGAATTGTGTAGACATTGTCTTGACATATTTTGAGCATTTTTGAGCCATTCCCAGATTTACACAGTGATGCTTCATGCAGATGAAGGTGTTCTTGTCGTGACATTGTGTACCCTTGCCGGCTGGATTTTATGACCCGGAGCTTCCGGTTGCGCTTCGCATGTCAAGAGATGTCAAAAACTAATCCCAGGGCTAGCTGCTAGCTAAAGTGGCATCATTCATTGTCCAGGAAAAATGATTCTGACAGCACCTGGAGTGAAGTGTCTCAATACATGATCCATACTTCCCCTCCAGTTTTGATCTTCCCCAAAATTGAAAAATCTGTAGGTTACGCAGGAACTTGAGTCTTAAGTGTCCCCTCTTTAGCGTTCTTGTTCAAATGAATTTCCTATGAATAGCCAGCATTTCGTGCCATCAGATGCCATCAGAGCCATTGCAAAGACCCATGGCTCGGCTTGAAGCTTTGGAAGCACTCGAAGCTCATGCAGCAGGCCAGCAAAACTGCTCAGAATTGTCCGGGAGTCGGTTCAAATGTCTGCACTAAGTACTAGTATATATACTATATATAATATATAGAATTATATATATATGATTATAATTGATTATATATGATCTATTATGATTCACAGGCTAGATCTTCGAACTTCATTGGCTTGGTGAAAATAGAAGATATGCAGATGCATGCCATGCAAAGTTGGGGCCGTCCTGCAGGTCATTCGGCTGTTGGCTGTGGCAGCAATACAGCTGCTTCCATGTGGCACAACTGCTCCTCCAAATGCGAAAGATAAAGTATTTAGATATCGTTCGTACAGCCACTTGGAAGAATTCGGAGATCCTGATCCAGTTGTTCTGAAGCGGATTCGAGGGACACATGCCATCAACATCCATCAATCAAGGATACCCTCTGTCACTATCACATACTATCACGAATCACTATCTATTACTGATGCCACAATTTGTCGGAGCCAACAACCGTTCGCAAGACAACGCTGTTGTGTTTTTTTGGATCCCACTCTTCGGTGTAGACGCTGATGACTGCCTGGTGCAAAGGAGAAACCAATAACTTCTTCGAGGAGTTGCGAAAGAAATATCCAGACTTGGTGGAGTTGTGGTATGCGCAGGAGCTTGGGCCGGGTCCTGCGTGATGGGGAACGCATCCCCTTCCAATTACCTCAAACTACATCTAAAAACGATGAAAATAAACAACAATCAATAGACACACCCGCCAGATTGTCTGGTTCAGTAATTTTACATCCCACCATAAACCATGGTTTAGTAGGATGAAATTTCATGTTTGGGATTATTTCGGGGGTGTTTAAGACTAGGGGAATGGGGATTGGATTTTCTATCGTTTGTTCATTTTGGGATCCGACTTAAAAAGGTGCATAAGAGGTGCCAGGGGATGGATCGTACCCCATGTTCAGACCCAACTGTCATACTTGTTGCTTACATACCCCATGATCTGTCATTTTATCAGAATACATCATCGGTACACCCCCTAATGTCCCATATATGTCCCATCAGGTGTTGGATCCCATGATATCATCAATTCTATCCCATCATATATCCCCATAAAATGTGGCTATTCCCAGATATTCTCCAGTATATCCCTTCATTTTGCAAAAATATTTCACACCACTATTTTACAGTATATCCTTCCCAGCTAAAGATATCTCCAGATAGCCAGGAGATCTTTCCCGAGATCAATCCTCAGAAGACCTCCTGGGCCACCTGTGAGGGCGAGCCGTGCAAGACCTTGATCGATGCTCGGGCCGTGTGGGGGGGTGGAATTAATCCAGGATCAATTCACAGAGCTGGATGAAAATGGTCCGTTTAGAGTCGATTTACCGTAATGAAAATGGTGATTGTCCATAGCCATGTTTGATTTACCATCTTATCCATCTTTTGAGCAATGAATATAGAGGTGTAATGGGTGTACAACAGTAGGATGGTGGGATAGAACCAACCAACCATACGATACCTACTAAACGGGGTGTCTCTGTTGAGGGGAACATCATGATGAGGTTCCCGGACTGTGGCTTGGGATGATCCAAATTCAGTGATTTTCTGAGACCTTAAACCCACCATGAAATTTGCTACTGTATAGCATATAGATGCATATTGTTGTTGCACAGTCTTTATGCATGTATACATACTTTTCACCTTATAGATTGTGTTGCATTGGCTCAAGAAATAAACAGCGTGTATTTGTGGTGTTTCCCGGTTTCTAGCTGTTAACTACAGGTTATCAGCCGTATCGCCAAAGGTGATCGCTGGTTTCCTTCGTTTCACACGTGTCGTTCTTTCTCCGTAGTTTTCGCAATGTCCACTCCCCCTGCGCTTCCTGCCCCGGGCGGGAACGCCTCGGCTGCATTGGCTTTGGCGACAACTACACAACCGGAGGAAGTGGTAATCCATTCAGGCGCGGCAACAACTGAAGGTGACATGAGTTACCTGGATGAAGAGTTTGACCCATGCCGTCAAGATCCACGCAGGAACATGCCAGGCGTTTTGGATTCAAACATTGACATCAGCCAACTCAACACCATCAACTTTAACAGTGTTGATCAGCGTACCGCCCACGTGGCAGTGGTACAACAAGGCATTGATCCAAACCTGGCGAACCAGCTCATGGCTGCTCAACAGCAGGCATTGCAGAGTGAGGCGAATGTACGTCACTCTGAGGTCATGGAACGTCAACGAATGGAGCTTGTGAGTGAGGCTCGAGATCAACTTGCAAGCGTTGAACAACAAGCAGCCGAAGAAATTTCCAGGAGAAACCTTTTGTTGAACGAGCAGGCCGCCCAGGCGATGAGTGAGCAGAAGTCTGCTCAGCTGCAGGTCACAGCGCAGGATCATCGCATCAGGGAACTGAGTGCCGAGCTGACTCATGTGGTCAACAATGCAGGTGTCTTGACATCGTCTGCGGAGAAGTCCAATGCTGATCTGCAGGCAGCACGTTCAGAACTTGCCGAGTACCGCACTCAGATTGATGCAATGAATCAACACGCTTTGAACATGCATAAGCTGGCCGAATCTCAGAAGAAGGACTTCGAGGCGGAGATTGAGAAGCTTCGGAAGGAGCAGAGAGAGCTCATCCGGAATTTAAAGTCTCAACCTCTGGAGGGAACTCCTGGACTTATGATTCACTATGGCTCAGGGAAACCCATTCCACAATCCTCGAAGCCCAAGGGTCCAACCATTGTAGAGTTAGCTTCGGGAAGCAAGAAGCCTCAGCATTCATCAGATGCTGACGACGAGCATTTTCAGGCAGAATCTTTGAAGCCACCGGGATTACCCGGCGGTGGACCTCCAGGAGATGACGATGGTGATGATGAATCTGACGACAAGAGAGGTCGCAGAGACAAGAAAGACAAGAAGAAGGACCGCAAGACTAGTCGTGGCCGCTCGCGACGACGACGTCGAAGAGATCCTTCATCCTCACCTTCATCATCGACATCCCCTACGTCGTCAAGTTCGGATTCTGAGAGTTCCTTTACCCGAAAGGTCAAAAAGGCCTTGGAGCGTTCTAGGACTAGTGATACTAAGGCCAAAGAGTCTGATAGGGTCCTTGTACCTAAGTTCCCTCAACCCGAAAATTATAGGAATTGGAGAATCCGAGTAAGGGATGCCATAATTGCTGCTTCTGCTAAACCCGACCTAGCCTTTCAGTGGGTGGAGGAAGTGTTCAGGACAGATCAGTCTGTCGATGCCTTGAATGACTCAGGTAAATTCGTGACCCTGGACGCAAAGCTCATGTCTTCGCTCACCAACATCTGCGAAGGGGACTTTGCACGGCAACTTGACATCTTTAAAGAAGAACAAGCCAAGTCAGGGACACCAGCTAGGGGACGTCAAGCATTGCTCATGATTCATAAACACTTCAGTACAAGTAGGAAGCATGGTGCAGTGTACGACATTGAGGACCTCATGGCTGTTACCTTAGTCAATGATGATCTCAGAGGTTTCATCACTCGATGGGACGCTGTGATCGCTGGAATGACTTCCGAGCCTGACATGATGTGGAAGCAAGCCTACTTTCACAACGCCATCAAGAACTTCAAGCCTCTCTCTCATGATCTGGCTGTGTATGATCGCACACCGGAGGGGGAACCCAACCGCTCTTATGACTTTCTCATGAAAGCTGCAAGGGGCTACCTTGAGAGGAGACGTCTTGAGAAGATGCGCCAGGCTACCAAGAAGTCCGTTTCAGGCAAAAGAGATGCAACGCCAGCACCCACGAGGCCGACATCCACGGGGAAGCCCACTGGCATTTGCTATGACTTTCAGGCTGGCAAATGTACCAGGGGAAAGGATTGCCGATACCGACATGAAAAGGCAGACAAAGGAAAAGGCGGAGGTAAGAAAGGCAAATCTAGGTCCAAGTCTAGGGGCGATGGTCGATCTTTGTCTCCTGGATCTAGGAACCAAGTGTGTAAGTTTTGGAAGGCAGGTAAGTGTCAACGAGGTAATGACTGTGCTTTCCAACACCCACCAAAGCCTGCAGCTGCATCTACCAAAGATGACAAGCGTGGAAAGAGCCAGAAAAAGAAGAAGAGGAATAAGAAGAAGAAGGGCGATCGCTCCAGATCGTCAAGTCGAGGTTCCAACTCCTCGAGAGGCTCACAGAGTCTCAAGGATAAAGGGGGAAAACCATCTTCCTCTGGCTCAGCTGCAGTCTGCCTGATGCGCGCTCTGATGATGGTCGCAGTCGTTAACCCTTCGACCAGCACTCATCGCGTGCTGGAAGGCATAGCCTCTCCGCATTGTTTCAACCAGCATTTTGCCATGCCAGTTA